TTTTTTTTTTCGTTAATACGGTAGGAAAATCACATTGCTTCCAGAACACGTTGATGCTAGTCAGGACGCTCTTGAGGCTAACGATGAGTCAGGACTCTGGACTCCTACCAAGCTTTGCTTCCATTGAACTGTGCTCTTTTTTCTCCCTCCTGAAGGAACTAGCTTTTATTGGCCTCTTCAGCTTTGGATTAACTTACATCATACATTTCATAGTGTATATATTCCAGTAAAAGAATACACACAGTACCACGCAAATTAAACTCCTAATCAAATTAAAAGGTTGAATGACATATATAGAGCAGTGTGGAAAAGTTATCCACACGATAACATGATGGTTCCCATTATGTGCCTTGCAAATCAGGCATCTACGGTGCACTTAGGGAGTGATAAAGCCAAATTACCCTTGTGGGTCAAATGCTGGAAGAGTCGTGACAGAAAGTTGTAGAGCGAGCGGGCTTTCCCTTCCCAGAGTGTTTTAACATCGTCAGGCGCAGCACTAAGTTATGGAGGACACGCAGCAGGTCCAAAGGGAGAGAAGGAAAGGTCATGTCCGCTAGGAAAGGAAATAAAAGTGGTTTTCTGTCAATGGCACAAAGGGACACAGAGGTTCAACTCCTGTTAATTTCCTAAGTACCTTTAAAAACCTCCCTAGGAAAGGTCCAGGAAAGTAGCCGTAACAGGGCATGGATTGCAGAGAGCAGCAGCTGGTGGTGAGCACCTCCTGCTCTTTTGGAGCGTGGGCATCGGTGTGCACCTCTTCTCTCTTGCCGGGAAGCTCTCCTACACAAACAGGGTCTGCAGCATGGTAAAGGTGTAGGATGAAACAGTGCCAGCACATGCTTTATGGCAGTTTGAAGGCTCTCAAAATCACTTCGGTGCCAACAGTGCTGTGCTAATTCCTCTCTCCTCCACACCTTCAGTCATTTCACTTCTCAGAGACGTTTTAGCCCTATGGCTCCACTGGCTTTTTTTTTGCTTTTTTTTTTCCCCTTCCCACCCCACCCGGGGTTGATTCCCCCGAAGGGGCGCGATGCGATGGATAACGCCCGTTTTCTCAGATTCTGCTTATTTACAGCGCTGGGGCAAGGGGAAGAAAGATGTTTATGATGTTTATTTACTCGCATTAATTCTGACTAAACGGTCTGTGAAATGCAATGCTATAAAGTAAAATCTGCCAGCTCGTATCGGATAGGAAAACACCCCTAGCCTGGTGTGCAGCTGCCTTCACTGGGGCATGCACAGCCACCTGTCCGTCCGTCCGTCCATCCGTCTGTCCATCCATCCCTCCATCCATCCATGCGATGGAAAGACAGGGACAGCCCAGAAGGGAATGGCTTCTCCCGGCGTCGTTGGCGTTTTCCAGCCGGACCGGATGCGGCGGGTGCCTGCCCGGTGCTTCC